AAATTTCAAACCCTTTGTCTTAAGATGGAGATTCATGTCCGCACTCTTTTTAATACTGGCGATTCTTGTCGCGTTAGCTGAATTGGGTATTCAGCTTCTTCCTAGCGATCCTGGAGTAACTGCGCCATCTCAACCATACAACACAGCTGAAATCCGCGTGCGGTCTATTCTTCATGATGGCGCCGATTTACCTAACTCTTTCGCGCTTTTCAGGCGCCAGAACAACACTGAACCAAATCCTGACGTATCGACAACGACGACTGTGCCTACGTCGACTGAAGAGGAGACTAGCACCACGTCCAGTTCGACAGTAACAACCTCAACCTCAACCTCAACCTCAAGTTCGGTACTTCAAACTACCACAACATCCACAACAGAAGATGCGACTACTAGTCTTAGAACAGACATCACTACATCAACGTCGGCTACCACAATACCCACTCTGCCCCAACTATCTACAACCACTACTCCTCCAGATACTACGATTACTCCACCCGATCAAGTATCAACAACCACGACGTCCACTTCGGAGATTTTACCTCCAACTCAAATCAGTACGACGTCGTCAACTCAATCGCCTCCGTCGTCATCATCGTCGCCATCTTCAACTGCCGCTGCATCTCAAGTTGAACCACCACCTCCTATCTCAACTTCCGACCCTTTACCACCAATTCCGACTACATCAATACCCCAATTCCCGCAGACTTCTACCTCGGAGAATAACCCACCCTCCTCTACTACCTCGGAGGCTATACCTTCATCTTCGGAGATACCACCCTCCCCGCCAACTGCGTCCTCATCAGTGGTTTTACCTCCAACTTCGATTTCATTTCCCTTGCCGCCATCTTCTACACTGACTCCTCCCGCATCAACTTCATCAACGACGCTTCAAATCCCTACTTGGCCTAACAATCCGTCGAGCTCAATTAGTTTCAGTACAGTTAGCTCCAGTTCGACCGCGACACAAGTAGAAACTACAGCAAGCTCCAGATCAGGGGTTGTTTGGCCCACTTCGAATGTCCCAAGTTCCCCTTCCACAATTTATACAACGGCATCATCCTCATGGCACTCAGACCCCAGTACTACTCTGACTACTTCCACATCAACATCGCTGCCACCGTCGCCGCCGCCGCTGCCACCCGTGTCGATATCAACATCTTCCTACATATCGGCGAACAGCCCTACATCGTTCATAAGTGTCACACATCCAACCTCCACGACACGTAGTACCGCTTCAACATATTCATCCAGCATCATTGCGATTATATCAACATCCGAACAACTGCCTTCCAGTAGCTCGACTAGTATAGGCAGCGCTTCCTCAATTGGTTCCACATCCAGTCTCATTCATCAATCCACGTCCTTTTCTTCGAGCCATTCTGAATTTCATACCGAGCCATCCCCGTCCAGCACGTCTACGCAAGGTGTCGTGTCCTACACGACGGAGCAGTCCATATCATACAACACTTCAACAGCAGAAATTACATTACCCGTACCTTTCACGACGTTTACAGGAATACCTGAACCGACTATTACCACAACAATAGTAACCTCGGTGAGCCAGAGCAATGGGTCCTATTTAGAGAGTACTATAGTAAGTCTTATCCATGGCGTCAAGGCGCCCCTGACGGACTATGTTACTACGCACACGGATTCGCTTGGTCGGCCAAGTTGGACAGAGACTTTCCTTGCGCAACCTTCCGAGCAGATCCTGACACGCACCGGTGCCGATGGGAAACCTACAGCGGAGACACAGGTCGTACTTTTGTACCCCAGCAAGACAACTCTCACGGATTACCAGGGGCGGGCAACAAAGACCTTGGACTACTATATTGCTGAAGTCACGAATGTCTTGACTGATGCGAAGGGTCACCCGATAGCCACAAGGACGTCTGCGATCTCTGAAACGGCGTCGCTCACCACGCTCTTCAACAGTAACGGTGTGCCGACATTGACAAAAACCGAACTTGTCCCAATGTCTATAACGTCTACGTTATACGTCTTACCTACCTCGAAAGCATCGCCGAACGCAGAAAGTAGCAAGTCACTGCATATAGTGCCCATTTCTGATGGGAATTATTTCTTGGGCTTGATGCTTCCTACCTTCATCGCAATACTCATCTCAATCCCCATTCGGATAATCGACCGAAATGCAAAGCTCTATCAGCCATTCCATGCCTTGGTATCATCGGATCAAGGCGCCGAAGCCCGTGACAGCTTGTGTCTCCAGACTGCTGATATTTGGAGCTTCCGGGCACGCATTCGCTCCCTTCTAAAAGGGCAGATGCTCCTCACCTTGACGGGGCTATTGTTATTAGGAAGTGTCATCATGATCCCTTTGGCCTCAGAAGCGGTTCGCATAATCCTAGAAGGACCGGATTGCGCAGCATCAAAAAGCGAAACACTAACATGCAAGATGGTACTCGGCGTCTATACAGTTCCAGCACAGATCGCCGTCGCACTCCTCGTTTTCATGACAGTTCTAGCCGGTATGATTGCGCTTGTGCTACGGAACTGGAAAACGGGGCTTGACTGGAACCCTTGGTGTTCATTCCGCATGGCACAACTTGCAGCTAATAACGAAATTCGCAAGCTCTGGTACGAACGATTATGTGATAAGGACGTTCCCATCACAAATAACGATGCGAATAAGGCCCTAAAAGCGATGTCCTTCTATCTAGCCCATTGGAAAGATAACGGAGTTCTTAAATACAGCATTCTGATTTCGAACGAGACGCGCTTATCAAAGAAGGAAAGAAAATCGGCTACTTCCAAAAATGGAAAGATTTCGCGAAGACAAAAATATGGGCGCACTTTGCCCTTCTTCGTCCTTACGTGGACCGGTGGGCTGCTCTTCCTGGCTCTGTTATGTGCTGCGGAAATCGGGTTGCTGGTATACACCATTACGGGAGAGGGCAAAGATTACACCGAGTTCATGATAGGGAGGTGGCGCATTGTCCGATTCTTCTTCACTTTTGTCGGCGTCCTAATCTCGTTGATTTGGGGATCGTTCTTCTATGGTGAGTTCAACTGAGTACCATCTAACGTCTGCACGAAGTTGACGAAGTCTTCCAGCTGTTGCGTTTCTCAGCCCCCATAAACTTCTCAAGCGTGAAAAACCAAAGGCTGTATACATGACGCCGCCCACTAATCCTTTCAGTGGCCTTCGATCGTCCTTCTCGCCAAATCATCGAGATCTGTACCTAGGAGTAGTATCCGCGACCGCTATACTCTCCGAAATCCTTCCTTTACTTCTCAGTGTTGCACTCGACAAGTGCACCGAGAGCTTCTGGGCTCATACGGTGTGTCTTTGGATGGCGGTGAGCCTCCTGACAATGATGATCCTTACGGTAGCTGGCTCGTTCTTCTTGTCCTGGCCACCCATGCCAATTGACCCCAGCACAATCGCTGGAGCGATGCACTACGCCCTGGTCAACTTCATACCGAAGAGCCCCTCATCTGGTCTTCTCTTTGGCAGAGCAAGTCCGGATTCCGTTTGACAAGAGAGTACATGAAGGGAATACATGAACCAGGAAGATTCGCTGGTTGATGATATATAATACCATATATATCTTACTCAGACATCCATGCCAGTTCTGTCCATTTCTTCCTCACATCTCCCTTAGTGACACTTGATACCAGGGTATCAATACGTTTTGGTCAACAGCAACCTAACCTAGGTGAATTCATCGAGGTCTTCTTTCGAAAGGCCCAGGATGTCGTTGGCAATTCTTCCCGGTCGAGCCTCGTAGTTTTCGACGCCGTCCATGTAGAGATTTCTACTGTAGAGGAACACGGCGTAGGCGTCCAGCCGCTTCTGGGCTTCCTGGAAAACGCTTAGTGGACTCCTTGTAGGTGATCGTCCAGTCCGACTTCTTGGTCCCCGTTGCGCGGAGAACGGTAGCGAACATTTCATTCTGCGTAAAACAGAACGAGGACACGTAGATGAACTTGTTCTTATAGTCGACCCCCAGGCGTCTCGGCCTTGGTGGAAGCGCGAGCTTACCTAAGGTACTTGACCTGACTGCCTTAAGCCCACCATTAGAATGCGCTATTGAGGCTTAGTAATGGCCCTTTTACATACCTAGGTAGATTACGAGTATTGTGGGGAGTCGGCCCCCCTATTCTATCATTATCAAGTAGTAGTGTGTGTAGCCCAGAGACTAAATATCATAGTTCTGAGTGTGTTACGGTGTGTCTGGTATTATAGGCATTTCATAGACTCGCGTAAGGGAATCGAGCTTCGTAGACCCTTGTAGTGGAAAATCACAACTCAACATATCTTACAAAAGCAAAGCTGTCAGCCCTCGTGCATCTTGTGAAACTTGCTGAAATCCATACCTATTATCGCCATGTCACCAACGTCGCAAGTCTAACTTGACTTCAAGACCGAGACTCAGGCTGACAGATCAAACTACGATATATCTTGTGCCTTCCTGCCTATGCCATTGCACAACGGCCAACTACTTACTGGTAGTTTCTTGGTAGCTTCGAAAGGTCGGCAATGCCTAGACGATGCGAATTAAGATACGTAGTCGATGGTATGGCATTCGGCCTCCGCGTACTCGGAATCGGCAGGACTTAGGGGGTCATTAATAATAAACATACGAAGATATTACGAGTATAATGAGAAGTCAAGTCGAGTATCTACCTCCTAAGTGAGTATAAAGATCTTTGTCTGTAGCCCTGTTGGGTGGCGGCCTAAATTCGATGCAATCAAGTCATTCTAGTCATTTTTTAAGTGAAGCCAAAGGACTGATTTTTTAAGAGAGATGGATTTGCTGTTCTTTTTAGCAGGTTCCGTGCACAATCAAAGAGCATTCTCGAGTGAGTGCGGATGATTGTCTTTATCTAGAATTAAGGGGGTACCTTAGGTAGGTTAGGTAGCCAAAGCCAGACGAAAAGGCCACTCCCCTCGCACGTTTGCTATTGAGACGCAAACAACGGGAAGCAAATCAGCGCATGACACTGGTACGGGCGCAAGTACACGCCGAGGAGAGGCATCAGTAGTTTAGTGGTAAAATACATCGGTTTCTATCGTTGGGCCCCGCGTTTGATTCGCGGTTGATGCAAGATTATGTCTTTTTTTGTTCTCTTCAAACTTTGAAATGTTGCCTTTACCTATGACTGTCTCTCACGTCGCCGCCGGCCTTAGTCATAAGTACCTAATGTTGGAAGCTACCCTGGCTGTGTTAGTGATCTCTCATGTGGCCCAAATTATCGAGGGCCCAGACTGCTAAAGGGGAGTAGTTAAGGGTTAACTCACTTTTGTTGAATGTACCTAAGGTTTAACTGACATGATTTCATTATAATGACGCTTCAATACGAGTTCCTGCTAGCTATCTAATCTCCACCATCCTAGAAGTAGCTTTAGCTTGTGAAGACGACTGGGTACCAGCGCATGGCATCTATCACTCCTTATTAATGACCCCTGCCCACGTTTTAATCCAAGATACATGATCTTATCGGCCGATGAACATTAATATTTTTGGTCCCTACTCAATAGTGCCCATTCGCCATTGTCCTTTCCCGAATTAACTATTGATGAGCCCCTCGTCCATGCAACTTATCGCCCCTGAGACGTGTTTTGATGGGGCAACACATTGCAACGGACCCGCGTCTAGTATATCTACTTTCGTCACTATATTAGGTAGGTACTTATACAGAATCATAGCTCAGTGGCACTTATTCAGAACCCCACCGAATCTGGCACAGGGTCTAGCAGGGCGGAGCCCCGTAGTGGCCAGGAGCGGAGGGAAAACCACCCCCGAACCGGCCAACTATGCCAGAAGGTACCGGAAAGCATCGATATGGCAGTTGGAATGGGTAGGTCGTGTTGATGAAGCTACAGCTTTAGGGGTATTCTACTTGTATCTGTGGGAATGGATGAGATTATGGTAAAAGCCAGGAAGCACTAGTGCTGGGCTTGAGTATAATCGACCCTTTATGTATGATTACCTTTTCAGAATAAATTTTACGGTAGCTATAGCTTGACTAAGATACTGATCTCCGAAGTAGGTGTGCAACTTGGCGTATGATTTGGGGTTGCGCACGCCGTACCATCGTAGTAACATGGACATAGTAGCCGCCTGCCGTAATCGTCGCATCCCGCTACACTTGCCAAATCATTCCGCGTCCAGCGCGTATTTTCCTTCCACCTTGCGTCATACGTACCTGTACGCGCCCAGATAGCCCCAAGGTACATCCCCATTTGACATCGGCGGGTAAATACATACATAGCTGGCAGCTAGTCCGCTACGGACGTGTTTCCTTCACCCGGCGCCGCAACGTACCACCACGGCCATCAAGGTACCCGTTTCTTGGCTTTCCGTGTCAGGTATCTATAAGCTCACCCGTCCTATCAGATACGGTACCTACCTGTGATGTAGTCCCGGTATTCGATACGTTAAGCGACCACGGCACCGTCAGCCACTGGTGCATTAGGAATACATATCGTAAAAACACCAACTACGAATTACGAACTCTAGTAGAAACTACAGGGTGCTTAAGAAACGACATCCAGAATGCACGCAGCCGTCTGGTGTACCTAAGACCAATCGCGTAAGCCTTCAACCATATGATGCGGCTCTACTGGAGTGACTGCCTGTTTTCCTACCTACCTACCTAGGTAGGTAGGTAATTATACCACGACTGACATCGGGCTAGATACCCTTGTCCAAAGCAGTGGAAGATCGATCTTATTTCGTGTTACGTGACACATCTAGCACGATGATCGGCTTTTGCTGCTTCTTAGTCGCGGCGTCACTCGGTGCTCTCGTCGCAGCCAACGACGATAACCACGTAAGTGGTGCAGTCGACTGCTCGAAGCAGGATCGAGGATACAATATTCCTCTCCGAGTCGGACTTCTTTTCGTCATCCTGGTGACCAGCTTCATTGGTAAGTTTCATGAGCAACAGCCCCCCCTTGGTCAAGTATAAACTAATAGCTGATGCAGGTGTCGCCGGTCCGATCTTCCTCAAACCCGTCTTGCCAGCGCGATTCCAGTCGTTATTCGTCGTTCTGAAGCAGTTCGGCACTGGAGTCATCATCGCAACGGCGTTAGTTCATGTGAGATCCCGTAGCCTGCCAATGCAGCAACCGACTCCTGTGTTGCAATGACTGATCGTGGCTTGCCACTATAGCTCTTTACCCATGCGCAACTCATGTTCACCAACGAATGCCTCGGCGAGCTTAACTACGAACCCACGGCTGCCGCGATTGCCATGGCCGGCTTATTCCTCGCATTCGTGATCGAGACTGCGAGCCGCCGCCTGGCCCAGAGATTCTCGTCCAGAGCGCAGTTCAACGACGAGATTATTGGTGTTGTGGTTCTCGAGGCTGGAATTCTGTTCCACTCTCTTCGTAAGCCTTGATCTGCTCTTGATCCTACGTAATGTTTATGTGCGGGCTAACGATTACTCGTAGTGGTCGGTCTTACCCTAGTAGTGGCAGACGACGGTTTCTTCATCACGCTCTTCGTCGTGATCCTCTTCCACCAGATGTTCGAAGGCGTCGCCCTCGGCACCCACATCGCCTCCATCGGCGACCACCACCAAGACCACCACGCTCGAACCGGCGGCGCCGGCCCCGCGTCCGAAGTCCAGGATAAGGCCTCGTCTTCGTCGGCGTTGGGGGCGGTCGCGGCGATCGCAAGGCGTGCGAACCGCGTTCCGGAGACCCGAGTTCGGGAGGAACGACCGGTCGCCGGCGGATATTGGCCGTCGTTGTCGATGATGAAGAAGCTGCTGCTGGCCTCGGCCTTCGCCCTGATCACCCCGCTCGGCATGGGGATCGGCATCGGCGTGCTCCAGAACTTCAACGGCAACGACCCCGTGACCCTGATCGCGATCGGCACCCTCGACGGCTTGTCCGCGGGCATACTCTTGTGGGTCGCGGTGGTGGAGATGTGGGCGGCGGACTGGATGTTCGGCGGCGATTTGGACAATGAGGGGAGCCTGGTGACTGCACTTGCGGGATGCGGGTTGGTGTCCGGCATGGCTCTTATGAGCTTCTTGGGCAAGTGGACTTGAATGGCCTGCTAGGCAGCTATTGTGTGTAATAAACAGAACTTGGCAGCATTGGGCGGCCATGAAATGAATCAAAGGATCAATCTGTGTCAATTACTAGACTACTTTACGCGTGACTGTCTGGTATTAACTTGGCGGCCTTAGTCTTTATTGAAGAAGGTCGGCAGCACCCCGATTGTTTTTCCTTGGGAAATTATGAGAGCTCAGAAAACCCATGACCCAGTTAGGTGTAGAAATCGACAGCAGGTCTTAGGTTAAGTAGGCATGGATATTGAGATAAAAATATCCACCGAGCAGATGCTCCGCTAACTCTATCTTGTCCACGGGAGGATTGTTAATGACGGTATATAAAGTGTTCATTACGTTAGAGCCGTTAATTCGTTGTGCTTATATAAGCACCCCTTTTTTGCGTGATAGTCCAAGGCATGATGGGTTGAAGATAAATCGAGAGACAAGCACATCTAATCCTTGTTGTGTTACTGTAACTTGATGCCATTAAGGTAGAGACACGTGTGTTTTGGGATTGAACATAGGTAGGTTAGAATGATAATAGCCGAGTTAAGCTATCTAAACCACATCTGGATAGGATTTCTTCAAGATGTCCTCCTCAATCGTTGTCATCACCTCGATAGCTTCGTCCATCAACTTATAAGTAATCTCGCCATATATCTTTTCGTCACGCAACTCGAGCAGTCGACGCTTCCAGAACCCCCACCGCTCAAGAGTAAATCCCCTTAGCCCGGTAAACAGTGGCCCTATAGAGTAAGGGTTGTAATGTCTCGTCTCTAACTTCTCCTTTGGATCTGCGTATGTGTCGAGCAACGATTCTCGCATCAATCGCCGCCCACTTTGCACTACCCACTCGCATGAAACTTGTAGGCGAGTTTCTGGTTCGGGCCGATCGTCATCTTTCGGCTCTCCTTCTAAGCCTTCCTTCAGTTCGCAGATAGCGAAAAGAGCGAAAGACCCGACATGAGGGCCGTTGTACAGCCTGGCAGCAAAAGAATTGAGATTCAACCACTCTTTAGCCGTAAACTCCCTTTCGTCTTTAGCCTCGGGGTTGTTTGTAGGACCTATAATTATATATCGTTAGTAGATGGCACTTGCAAAGATACCTTGCTTAGGTAGGTTAAAGCATGCCGCGTCTTACTTAAATTCCAGGTGTCTCTCATCGCAATCCATATCTCTGGCAAGCCCTTCCACCCCTCGACTCCATTCAGCTTACGGACAGTGGAAACAAGAACATCTTGACCATAATGCCTATGGTCTATGCAGCCTGCGATGCGATTCAGGGCTGTCCATGTGCTGCGTGGAAGCGACTGATCCTCAAGACTTCTTCCGGGGGCGAGCTTGATTAAGCCGTCCACAAAGCGCTGCGATGTCTGTTCGACATCCGCGTCGGGCGATGAGCTCAAGACAGACTCAAACAAATCAAGAATGTCCAGTTCATCTTCAGTGGACAGCAAGCAGAACTCTTCGTCGCGGAGATGTTGAAAGCTAAGTGACTGGTCTGACATGGGTAGTGATAGTAAGAGTGATTACTATGAGGTTCTGAGAGGGTAACGTGGTGCAAGAGAGAAGTTAAACGATGGTGGCTCACTATCAAGTAGCAGGTGAAGAAACTTGTGAAGAAGCTTTTTACTGTTGAGGAGGCGATTTAAATGTTGATGAAGTAAGTGGCATTTAATGATGAAGTTGGAAGGAGTTCGAGTCAATTGGGTGTCGAGTTGTTAGTGAGCCCTTTGCTAAGCCCTGTGCACAGCCACCTCTAACAATGAATTGTATCCAATGAAACCCGGCACTTGGAACCGCCCAGGCAGCCGGCCCAGCCCAGGTTCGCCGTTCGCCTGGCGCTTAAACTCCGCTTTTGTCTTGTGGATGAGTGGTCTAATAGAGCGTCTATTTGTACGGCGGCTAGGGTCTCCAGGCTAGCCCCTAGCGCTTCGTTCCAGCGCTTTGTTCTAAACTCCAATTTACCAGCAACACGGGTTGCGCTTATCTGCGTTCGTGGTCCGAGCGCTACTGGTCACAATCATGGATTGTG